TAACCAAATGAGCTTATATAGAACTTAGGGGAACTTTGGTGACCCATAAAGGTTAATTCAAACATTCTTGGATAATTTTGAATAACTTAAGTGCTCTTATGAATCAATTATGTCAACATTGACATATCAAATACCAATATAGCCTACCCTAACAAATCTAGTCAAACTTGAACAAATTTGGTTGACTTGACCTAAGCTTTGTTAAACTTAACCTTAAGTGACTATAACATGATCGAAAGCCCATAATAGGCCCATAAAATGCATTCTAAGACAAATTATATTAGCATAAATCCTAGGTGATACATTAGAACCCTTAACTTACTAAGTGTCCCATTATAACCTTAAGCCTAATTAACCTGGCGTAGACCTTACCTAGTCCCCATTAACAAACCCTTATACAAAAATATACCCAATTGACCTTAAACCTAGGCCCAACTTGGACTTAATGTAGTACACTTGACTCAATTATAGTCAATTGAGACCAATTGATGCCTTATCTTACCCTTACATGATCTATAAAAGTACCTGAGTTTACATAAGAGTCCTGCGCAACAATAACCAAGCCCAAGCTAGCATGAATAAGCTCAAGGTTTACTAAAGACAATTAGGATTAACCAGGCCAAGATAGTCATTCCCTATCTCATTTGAACCTAACCTAGCTTAAGCAAACTTACCCTAGCCATCCAAGATCTTCACCCAATGTTTAACAAAAAAAAAAAATGTAAGAAAATTTATGAACATCCAAATTAAACTCATACCTCGCTTCAAATAACTCATTAGCCTAAGATAATAGGAAGTGGTCTTTCTAACCATCCCTTGCCTCCCAAATCATTCTAAAGTTATTTAAAGATCATTCTCTAAACTTTTTAGGCACAAAATTTGAATTCATTAGAGAGAACATGATGAAGTATCCATAAAAAAAAATGAAGCTCCCTTTGACCTCTTTGAGAGATTTTAGAGCTTCCCACGGTCTAATGAAAGTGATTTTATTGGTGGAGTGATCTAGAACAACCAAGATTTAGTGCAACCCCTTGATAACCTCATCTTGAAATGAAAATATTCTCAATTACTTGTTCCAATCAGAAATAACTTTAGTTAGGTAAATTCCTTGTAGCCTTAGCCCATCCATATGCTTATTCATGGTTACATTTGCATCATAACTTCTATTATTCTTTTCGCCTACGCATATGCTTCTGCCATGGAATGTTAGGTTTAGTGTCTTATTGACAAATAATTTTTCTACAAAACTATTGGATTACCATCACCATTATAGTTTTATCTCCGGGCAAGTGATGTAATTCAGACCCTCTATTTTCTTTGTATTGTTATAAACATCACACTTTTCCTTTATTAACCATTATGTGATTTGGTTTTTCTAGTATTTGATTAAATGTTCTTTATTCCTCTTAGAGGCCACTACATAGAAGGAACATACACAACATGCATATCAAATCAAATAAATAGTTAGTTATAGTGCACCATTCAAAACTAAGAATATTTACTAATAGCTAATAATGACTTTATAAGTAACTTGAAAGGTTACATTCTACATGTGAAGTTCACCTATAGTTATAATTTTCATGTTAGTAATATCAACATAGCATTGTATGAGTCTCCTTTTGAAAAAAAATGTAGATTTTATTTTTATTGGTTTAAGGAAGGCAAATAAAAAGTCTTTGGGAAATAGTTAATTAATATAGCTACTTAAAAAAGTCATCTAATTCATAAACAACTTTGTTTGATAAAAGAGAAATAAAGAAGATATTTTGAACATAAAAATTCATCTAATTCATAAACTGATTGAAAAAAGAACAATAGAGAGATTGAGTTCAAGGTTATAAATCATGCCTTTTTAAGGTTTCTTTTATTTTGGAGTTAAAATGATCGATAAAAGTTAATAGCTTTCGAATCTAATTCAATGGTCCCTTTGAGATAATTGAGATAGTCAGTAGAGTTTCATATTGATGGGCTATTCCTCAGAGCATTATGAGGGTTTATGATATTTTTTATGTCACTTTACTATGGCATTATGTTCATCATAACTCTCATTTTAATCAACCTAAGTCATTGGCATTATGCAATGATCCACTCATGATTCAAGAAAAATTGGGTTATTAAATGGTACTCTAGTGTATTTTGAATCATGAAGATGGGGAGCTTAATTATTGACTGATTACCATTATCAAGGAAATTCATAAGCAAACATAATATTGAGAAGTGAAATGGGAGATAAAAGAAGAAATCATAAACTATTCATAGTTTTGTTACAAATAAAATATAAATTTTGTGATCAGGTTGATGTAAGTTATGTCTTGCTAATCTCAATTTTTTAATAATTTATAATTTTTGAATTTTTTTTATCCAAAGTATAATTTGATTTCATAAAAATACAAATTTCTCATATTTTGATAAATTTCATCAATGTAATTTTTGATATAGTATTGGTACAATTATTGTGGTCATTATGAGTAATTATTCGAGATTTTTCACTGGCTGATTTCGAAATGCTGTGATTTTTTAATATCATTTCAAAAATTCATTTTGACATTTAAAAATCGTGTTTTAGTTCAGTTAATGCTTCTGAATGCTGTTATACACCATCTCTAGTAATTTGGTAGAATTCTAAAACTTTAGTTTTTGGCAAACTGTAGAACACTTGGTGGGAAGTTATTTTGACAACCATTATAACATTTTTTTAAGAATTATATAATAACACTGTAATCAAATCAATAGTATAAAGTGTGTTTTATTTTTGATATCTGTGTTTGAAATATTTGAATTGTGTGAAAATAAATTCTATTAGCAGAGAGAATAATTATGTTGGAGATGAAAAGGGGTTATGTTGTTAGTTATGTGTTAGAAGTTTTGGAGCCTAAGGACTATTATGATATTTACTAGGAAGGGATTATTGGTGGTTAGAATTAAAGGGATTATGTTGGCGGCGAGACCGATTTTGTTATTTGTTATGTATTGGGAGTCGGGGCCTGAGGGTCATTTTGATATTGCTATGAAGAGTTTATTTATATTTCAATTAGTTTTAGTAGTTTGTTTAAATGTTTGTTTCAATTCAGAATCAGTGTTTACTTTAGTTTCAGCTTTTCGTGCAATACTTCAATTTATTATTCAGCTTTTTTGGCTCTTCTAATTTGAGTTATTGATTTATGTTTTAGACTGTCGTAGCCTATTGAGTCGTGTTAGGTCACTCATACTTTTGATTCTTCTTTCAGGCTAGGTAAAGGGTAAGGATCGAGCTAAGTAATTTTAGATATTAAGCTCTAAATTATATTGTAGGTATGCATTTTAGTTAGTTTTTTTTTTTTTTTTGGCAGGCTTGACTTTATTTTTTTTATACTTTTCTTTTATTAAGCACTGCTGTAGATAGATCTCATATTGTATATGTATTTTTGTATGACATATAAAGAAGCTATTTATGTGATTCAGTTGTCTTCCGCTCTATTTTTATAATTAGTAGTGGCACTATGCTGTGCATAATTTATATGTTCAAGAAGCATTTCTCCAACCAGATCTTGGGGTGAATCTCTGCTTCTTTCCACAATTGGGCATGGTATGACATGTGAGATTTGGTAGGGTCATTTCGGGTTGGGTCATGAAACAACTATCTGGTAGATACTCTCCCCTTCATCTTCTACGACTGACAAGGCTTACATGCTTTCCTCCTCGCCTTCTCCTTTGATTGCAAGCAAAAGCATATCCATAACAACTAATCTCTATATCCTTATTTTAGTCTTTTCTTCTCCTAGCTCTTGAGAGACATCACATGATTTTACCTTCTGTTTTTTCAGCCAATGTAGGTTTTCTCCTTACCACTAACTACTATAATATTTCATTCTCTTTTTCACGTACTCATAATTTTTTAGACTTATTGAAGCTATAGTAGGCTTCTTCATATTAGTAGACCTCAATATAATTAACTTATATTTCTTTATTCCTTGTAGCAATTTTGATATAAAAACTTCCTTATCAAATTCTTCTATTATTTGGACCACTCTTCCCTCAATATTTTGTTAGTCAAGTTAAGTTATTAAATCTCATTTAAGGCATTTATTTAAGGCTTAGTGTAGTTAATTTTTAGTTATATTATATAAGTTAAGCTATCATGTGTTTGATTATCTTTTCAATATTTAAATATTGATTTCATATTATTATTATTTAGGACTTTCGAGTATAAATATATTTTTTCCAACTTTAAACTAGCACTATCGTCAAATCACAATTGTCGAATCATTGCCACTAGACCTCCACCGTCAGATTGTTGCTACATAACCTTTGCTTTAGACCAGCGTCACGACGTCACCTGATCTATGTTTTCACATTACTATCATCACTCAGCCACAACTGTCAAAACGCCTCTCATCCCCTACTGACTCAGTGATATTTTCCATTAGCAACTCATGCTCTTATAATCCTCCTTTCTTCAATTTGGATGACAAGAAAATATTTGTAGTCAATGCTTTGACAGTTGAAGTATTTAGGGTTAGCAAAACCTCGTATGTCCGTATCTGTTTAACTTTATTATTTTTTTCATATAAAAGCTCTAGATCTGCTGTATTCTTTCCATTTATTTGTTTTTAGTAAGATTTTTAGCTAATATGAGGACTCAAAACTCTCACTTTATTGTGACAAAGTTTCTAGCTTGCAACAATCTAAAGTGAGATTTAGGCTTTATTTGAGACGTCTTTTTATACTTCTTAAAATATTTTTTTAAACTAAAAAATTTTGTACTTAAAAAACTGCTTTAGAAAACAATAAAAAAATTATTTCAAATGAAGACTTAAAATTTTCATACTAACTATTTTATTAAATTTAGATTTTGTTTGACATAACTTTTTTTATTATTTCTTAGAACAGCTTTCAAGTACGAAAATTCAAGCCTTAAATTAAATCCAACTTAAATTTTATCTTAACCTTCTAGAAAAGCCTAGAAATATGCATCTATTGATTCCAATGTAAAAAAATAAAATAAAATAAATTCCAATGTTCCATAGCGCTCTTCCGACCATATCCGCTTCTCGAGCGCTTCACGCTTCAAAAACTCAAAAACCAAAACCTCAGCAAAACCCACACATGGCAGTTTCTTCTCCGATTCTTCCTGTTTTCTACCTTTCTTCTCCTATTCCAAGATGCATTTCCTCCTTCAAATCTCTTTCCTATTTTTGCTTATCCATGAGTAGAGTCCCTGCGCGAAAGCGCCTCTTCATCACAGCGAAGGCCGTCTCCCTCCAGAGTAGAGAAGAGCTCGAGACCGTCAATATCGCTGAAGACGTCACCCAGGTTCCATTTCCATCTCCTGTTCCTTTCTACATGCCAATCTCTTATTTCCTTAATTCCGGCACATTTTCCTTTTTGGTTTATTTGTTCTACTACTTGAATTATTTAATTAAATTCACCGTGAAACAATCGAAAATGCTAATTCTAACTTTCTCCGCGATTGTTGGCGAAAATACGCTCTTTTTATTGCATTGTTTAAGAATTTGGGTTAATTGATCTCCTTCTTTGTTTCATTTGGAAGATGTGCTTTCCTCCAATTTATACTCAGAAATAAAAATTCACAATTTTTATTCTTATAATAAGCCTGTTTATTATGTTTAAAAGCTTGAACATTAGCATTTGTAACTTTGATTTGAAGGGGGAAGCTAGTGGACTTAACTACAGTCCTTGGTCATATACATCTTGTTCATCTAGCGCGAGGAATGTACTTTGAAATTCTGAGTTTTAGCCAAAATCATTAACCAAGACCTGCTTTTACGGTTTTGCTTGGTGAACATGTTATCCCATTTTGCCAAACAGCAAGCAGAATGGTGTGCATTTAGAAGAATACAATGGTTGGATTAGCTAAATCAAACATAACATGCTATAAACATGTAAGATGATGTTAAACTGTTATAAAATATAATCAGGGCATGTTGAAGTGAAGCTATAGGTAAGTGGACTGCATGCAACTATTGAGCCTCATTGCTACTATGAAACATTTATGCTTCGAAGTAAAGCACCGGCACCAAAGAACTTCCTTCGGAATTCTTTCCAACTCAAAACTTCATAGTCAAGCACGTGAAAGTAAATAATAAATCAAACATACAAGCAAAGACATGTAAGTGTAAGTGAGTGTATAAGATGGTTTATGTTAATGTGAGTGATTAGATAATAAGCACTTGAATAATTGAAAAACATAATTAGTGCAAGCTCTAGTGATCAATAAACTTAGCTTACAATAACAATCAGATAAGTGATTTAAGATGTATTTGCATAATGTAAAGCGAGTAAGTGATGTAATAGTTAAGCTCCACAATAAAGATCCACTTTATCACAATATTTGATTATCAAATACCAAAGCTCTAAACAGAAATGGTGTTCACATAACATAATGGTGATTAAGAGATATATTATTGTAGGTGGGCAATTTAATGACTAAGCTGAATTCAAGAAATTTGCTCAACAGTCAACAGCTAAAGCATATGGGTGCTTAAACATATGAATCACCATATAGACATATGAATCAACAAATTAAGCAAGTAAATTGGTAAAAACTTAATCTAAATAAATAGCATGGACGTAATGATTTTCACATAGTTTGATACCAAACTAACCTATTTTTATACCTAAGTCTAAATAGGATTCCACTAAGAACTTGTTGCAACTTAAACACCTTCACTCCATAAGCCGATAAAGAAGTTGATCACCTTCGTTCAAGAGCAAGAGTACCTACTTTTTGTTTCAGGAAGTGCATCTCTTTCAAACTTACAACCCAAAGCTTCTTCAAGCCTGCACATACAAGTTTAAAAGAAATTATCTACTCAAATTTCTCTTGAACTTCGTTGATGAAAAAGTTGCCCGTAAACGAGCTATTAAAGTGCGCCTGTTTTCTAGAGAGAGAGAGTGCGCTTGTTTTCAAAAAAATTTATGTTTGCCGCATTTTCTTTGGGCCTTCTGGTATGGCGGCGAAAGGCCGCTGTCCATATGCTAGTGGTGGCTCTCAAGCGACTGTAGCGGATGGTCGTCATCCATCTTCAGGTGGGTTATTGGATCTATCGCATGGTGAGTTGAAACATTCTGGGCGGCCTAATGGAAGTTTTTTTAAGGGAGGTTCAGGTGGTTCTTCGTTCTTAGATAAACGATCTACCTCAGGATACTGCACAGTCCTTAGAAGAAACCTAGTTACATAAGAAACAAGAAGCAAAATGTGGTGGCAAGATCGAGTGCAGACACAGAATACAAAGCTATGTCCTTGGGAATGTGTAAGCTACTATGGATCAAGATGATTCTAGAAGACCTAAGGATCAAGTGGGAAGGACCCATGAAGCTATATTGTGACAACAAATTAGCATAGCTCACAATTCGGTTCAGCATGATAGGACCAAGCACATAGAACTATACATATATTTTATAAAAGAAAAAATGGACAGTGGTCTTATATGTATCTACCATGTCCCATCAAAAGATCATTTTGAAGATATTCTTACCGAGGGACTTGATAACTCTGTCTTTCTGGGACTGATTACCAAGCTAGGAATGACGGATCTGTATTCCCTAGCTTGAGGAGAAGTGTTAAATCTCAGCCGTCCCTTAGCAGTTGATCCCACAACTAGGTTGTGGATTCGTGGGAAGGCTTACCTGGATCACTCCGATCTATTTCCATAATTAGGTGACTGATTTAGGAAGGATTATATTAGGACAATTATGAAAGATTTTGTAATTTATTTATTTCTTTATTAGATATTTTGTATAGATCTATAAATAGAAATAGATTTGTGCTATAAAGCGAAGCCTTTTTCTTCTCCAAATCTCTGAATTCAAATTAGTCAATTTTGTAGGATAAAATTTTCTTCAATAGCTACTCCAGCTTGAAAAACATGGGTTCAAGTTTGTTTTAGTTTTTGCTACAATGGCTCAAGTAACCTAAGAGTTTCTGTAACACCCCACATTACCCTTGAATAGTACTGTAGAGTGTAACAACTAAAACATATTATTTTCCTTCCATAAAGTTTTTGAATATAGTTAACCACTTGCATAACTATACGACATATCTCATAAACCTTCATTGATACATTAACTGAAGTACTTCACATTTTTTTTTTAAACTTCCACAACATAGTTACAGAGCCACTAAGGAACATCCAAACAAAATACTTCAAATGAGTATTTACATACCCTTAGATAATCCTTACTAACAAATATAGAAATAACACATAACATTGAGGTACTTGAAATCTAATCAGCAACAACTTTATCTTTTCCTTTACCTGTAAAAACAGCCAGAAGAAAGTTCTGGTGAGCTATGAGGCTCACATAAGCTATGCAAAATTAAATAACAATAAAAAATTGATCAAATGAAATACAATATTGAGCTAATCATTGCACCAACTTATCATTATTTGAAAAGCATCAAAAGCATCATATTGAACATCATCCTTTATGTTATTAGAGATATATATTGAATATTTAATCTTTTAAAAGATTTGGCTATACTTTAACATTTTCAATGGAGTCCAGATAAATCTGGCATTATTACCATTGAATTTCATAGAGGTCCCTTTTGCCTCTTTAGGGGTCCCTTTTGCCCCACCTGCTATGCAGGTATTCATTTCCTTGGGGTCCCTTTTGCCCCATCTACAATTCAGGTTTCATATTGGGTCCCTTTTGCCCACCTCTTTACACAATACATGAATTATTTTCATGAATCATAAAATATTTTATATGCATATAATGTAATGTATATTTTATAATCACCCGTCTCGGAAGTATCTTTTGTACTGATCAGGTATAATTTGTTTGGCCATTTCTTTTCCATTTGGTTCATAAGAACCATATTTACCATTTGGTTCATAAGAACCACCATTACCAATGCTCAGAAGAGTATCCCTTTACCAAAGATATCTCCGCATCAACATGCACATACATTCATTATATAATTATTCATATGAATATTCTTATTCATGCATATGGTCAATTGTCTCCTAATGTGCTACATGATTTCATGTTAACATGAGGAAAGAAAAAGAGCTAAGTACATTCTTTATTCATCACTTTAGAAAGAAACAAGTGCAATATATATATCATCACATAAGAGCTGTACTTGCAATGTAAGATAACACATTGTCTCTAAATCATTACCAAATGAGTTCATATAATTAGGCAACCATAGAAAACATGTGCATGACATTACGAGCATAATAAGATATAAAAACAGTACGATTGGAAGAATGCTAAAAATCTTCACAACAATATAAAACATGCTATGATGGAAAAGATTGAAATTTTCTTCTAAATTTAAAAGTGTCACATTTACCTACCTCAATACAACGTGCTCCGCCAAAAATCCTTACGAACTCTTCCTTTCTACGTGTTCAACACCTAAATGAAACACACACATCATTCCCTACACTCATTATAAATTTAAAATAAATACTATTTTTGGAATTATCTTAAAACCCTAAATTTGGAAAACACATTTTCATTGATTCCCTCACATAAACATGCCAAACTCTCCCTTACACCTAATTCATAATTAAATTAATATATTTTCGGATTTAAAATAATTAGAAAATTAGAAAAATACATTTTGTAAGAAAAACTCAATTTCTTCCCTTAGAAACTACATAAAACCCTTAGGAATCAATTTTATAAAAGTACTATCAAAATTTCTAACTCTATGGAAAAACCTTAAATTTCTCCAACTCAAAACTTCCAAAGAAAATCACATATTTCTATACATAAAAAAAAAATCTCCTAATCATTCCCTAACAATCCCTCATTAAAATTCTTAAAGAAAATCAAAGTTTTCTCAGACCCTAGAAATCTTTTCTTGAGAAAACCCTAAGGAAAAACATGGGAAATGGTTCATGAAGACTCACCTTAGCCTTCTTTTAATCTTCCCTACAATTTTCCCCAAGTTTGGCCGCCGGAATCTGCCGCCGGAGCCACCCGTTCTCCTCTCCCGTCCGCCTTCTCCTCTTCATGAGTTCGGGCGGAAGAAATGAAATGGGGACCGAATTTTTCGGTCCCCTTTAGGGTTTAGGGATTTCCATAATGTCAATTTTGCCCTCACTTAAATAACCCATGCTTGAATAAACATTAGGGGTATTATTGAAATTATGAGACTTCGATGAATTTTAATTCCTAAATTAAGCAAAATCAAATATAAGTCTTATATATCAAATTTCTTAGAATTTTGTGAAGAATTTTTTAAAATTATTTCCATCGAAATCCGACAAACTTAAATTTTTACTTAAAACTCGTCGCAGCGTTTTGAAAAGCGTGTGAGGTCTAAAACAACATTTTTGTGGGTTTTACACATGCAGTGTCCGACACGTATCCGACACGACACGCGCCCGACACTCCTCCGACACGTGTTAGACACACTGCAAACGTGTCCAATTAAAAAAATATTAAATACAAATTGAACACACTTGTCCGACACCCATATTTTACATATTTTATCCACAACATCAAATCAATCACCCGCACTTAATACCCCATTCATCAAATATTCTCATTTTCATTTCTCTTTGATGGGTTACAATTTTGATTTCACAACAATGCTCAATGTCATCTCAACATCGACGTCTGATGTCGTTACAACATCAACATTTCAAAATGATCTCCATATCAAAGTCTGACGTTGTCTTTAAATTGATGCTCGATGCTAGCAATTTTTACACCCACAACTTCACATCTCATCTTTGTCCAACACCTTCTCAACATCGACGACCAAATGCCCTCACAACATCAACGATAAATGCCCTCTTAACATTGATGCCCAATTTTTTATTGCATAACATCAATGCCTGACTCTCGATATCATTGTCAACTCCTCTTTCGATGATTAATAAACGGCTCGACGCCCGACTCTCGACATTCTAATATTAATCATTTTAAGCACAAATCCTAGTTAAATAACTTATTATTTCTAAATAAGTTTTAAAATTATATTTATTCAATTTTTATGTACTATTTTTAAAATATAAAAAATTATAATACCGTGTCCAACCCATGTCAGTGTCCTATACTTTCAATAATTGACGTGTCCCGTGTCCGTGTCCATGTCGTATTCGTGTCGCCGTGTCCGTGTCTGTGCATCATAGTAATTTAGCAAAGTTGAAATTTCAAATTAATGGATAAGGGGGTTCACTATGATGCCAAGCATGCAAGCTTAAACAATTCAATATGCTGGTGATCATACTTCATGCGTTGTATTACCCTTAGTGCAATCTGAAATTAGAAGCTATTTATTTTTTATGTAAATTGATGAATGAAATTCTTTCCATATATTTTTGAACTGAAATAGATTTAGTAAAAAATATTGATTCTGGTCATTTACCAATTATTGATCATGTATTCTCAGCAGTTACCTTCCTAACTCTTCATTTCAATGTTTGGATCAGTTAATTGGGAGGACGCCAATGATTTATCTCAACCATGTGGTTGAAGGTTGCGTGGCTAATATTGCTGCAAAACTTGAATCTATGGAACCTTGTAAAAGTGTCAAAGATCGGTAAGTCTTTGTATCATAGTGTAGTTACCTTTGAACAACTAATGCTTACTATGCTACATTTGATATTACATGTGCCATTCTTTGTTATAACACACTCAGGATTGGATATGGCATGATAAATGATGCTGAAGAGAAGGGGCTTATTTCTCCATTAAAAGTGAGATTTTTTTCTTATAGTGAACGGCTACTAACACTCACACTCTTTAGCATCATTAAATATGATAGGAATAATTATATGTCATGCAGAGTATTTTAGTAGAACCGACTAGTGGAAATACTGGAATCGGTATTGCATTTGTAGCTGCGGCAAGAGGATATAAACTTATTGTAACGATGCCTGCTTCCATAAATCTAGAGAGACGGGTTCTTCTTCGTGCATTTGGTGCAGAGATAGTTTTAACTGACCCTGCGAAAGGTCTAAAAGGGTCTGTTGACAAAGCGGAAGAGATAGTGTGTCAAACACCTAATGCTTATATGTTTCAGCAATTTGATAATCCCATCAATGCCAAGGTGGTTGAATAAAGTTATCTTTTTTTCTCATATACACAATACCTGAAAAATAACATGCTTTACTTCTTTCCAACATTTTGTACTTTAAATTTGATGGAGAAAAGATATATAAAGATTATCATTCAAATAAACGACAGATCCACTTTGAAACCACAGGCCCGGAAATATGGGAGGACACAATGGGTGGGGTTGACATATTTGTTGCAAGCATAGGCACAGGTGGAACAATCACAGGGGCAGGTCGTTACCTGAAAACAATGAACAAGGACATAAAGGTTTGTCGCTTTGTGTATTGCACCAAATTGTCACTCAATATCGCTAGCCTTGCAGAGCCTTTATCTATTATATTGTTTATTGTTATCTGAATTGTCAATGCATATGCATGATATTTAACCTAGAGGTATAATCCTTTATGACAATTGTAATGACTTTGTTTATTGGAATTCATCTTTTTTGGCTCTCGTTGCAGTTATTACAGGTGTAGCATCAAGGAATTCACATCCTGAATGTCTTAATTCTGAATCTAGCAACTAGCAAAAGAGATTGACTTTTAAAATGGCTTTCACTAGTTATTAGATTAGATAATATTTTTTTTAGATTGACGCCATTATCCTAGATTTTTCAAAATAGAAGCAGGTAGAACTTTATATTTCGACATGTCATGTTTCATGCAAGCTAAGAAAGGCTGTGTTATATTCCTGTGATGCTATGGTGCGGGTTCTTTGTGTTATAGACTAATTTCTATATGTTCTTCTTCATCTATTGCCATTGCAGAGATAGGTGTTCAAACTCTACTGTTGAATGTCTTGAGCACATCTTATTATAAGAAAATAATGGGCCGTTCTGCTGAAGAGTTGTTCAGAGCCACCCTTGTGAGTAAGGAGAAATAGACACGCTAGCTACAAACATAGAATTTAGAGTATTTCAACAAAAGATGTCAATATCCACACTAGAATTGGTGCCCTTGTGATATTCTTAGTTAGCTAATTACCAGTTATAAAGATTTTCTTGAGAGGGTGGGATAAGGAAGGGAGAATCATCTTTTATATTGCTTTACAGAAATAATCAGAAATAGTGAGAATGGGGTGAAGTTTAGAAGAGGCTGTCATCAGTATATAGAAGTTGAGGTCCTGATTCTTCAAGGGAGGAGAAGATCTTGTTGTCGTCAGCACATTGACTTAACTAGTTTTGAGAGGGGTTTTACACGCAACTGGTCAATTACCATGCTTTGTGTGGCAGGTGCAAGATATTGAAATTATTGTCTATAAAGAGAGATTCTCAGTGGTTTAACACAAAAACGATAGGCAGGCGACATCACCATGAACTCATGAGGCTACAAATATTATAGAGCGACTCTAATATGGGTTGTGTGGATTGACTTTTATTCAGAGTAGGTGACTAAGTAAAGTGTTCAACTATCTCATGAAGAGAATCACAAGTAGCAAGGAAATTGCCTTGAGAAAATCTTCCGAGTGGAATTGCTTTGCGCCAAGAGGTTCAATTGTATCTTCCAGTGACGCCGGTATCAAATGAGGGAAAAAGAATTAAACATCTGGAATGAGAATGTTGGAAGAATGGCGGACAACCTCTATGTATAGAGACAAGGTGGACATCCTCCCTGTATTGAGACTAGGCATACAACCTCTCAATTGAGGCAATCTGGACGCAGGGAAGGAGAGCCAGAGACCTCTGGGCAGCAATTATTCTGACCGCAAGGAGGAGACCTGTTGGCTTAAGCGACGAGAAAAGATAGCCTATGACTGTAGTGGGCTAGAGAGGGAGGGGTGACCACCTCCTAGAAACATTCCAGGATACAAAAAAATAATCAAAATAGAAAACCAAACTCCAGAATTTTATTTCTAAGGAATACAAATGAAAGGAGAGTCTCCTATTTATAGTTCAAACGTTTGATGACTAGGATAAAAAACAACTAGATAAACATTATTACAAAAATGATTGTTTCAAGTTGGAGCTGAACTGGTTGATTTAACCAACTGGTCTTTGAAAGCATCAACGTCATTCTCCATGATTAGGAGAGGCTTTAGGATAATCTAAAGCCTCTAGTTCTTCACAATAGGGAGTCAAATGAGATATATTGAAAGTAGCAGATACTTCATAATCACTCAGTAGTTCTAATTGGTAGGTATTATTGTTGATGCGTTTGGCAATCTGTAATGGACCATCAGCCTTGGGTTTTTAAGTTTTCCATGAGCTCCAGGAGGGGAACATTCTATTCATTGCTTAATCTATATCAAATCTCCTTTTTTGAATATTTGGTGTTTTCTAGATTTGTTGGCCTGTGTTTAATATTTATCTTTTGCATTTTGATTTGTTCCTGGACTTGTTCATGAAGCTTCCTTATTTCTTGAATGTGAAGTTCAACATTGTGGTTGCGACTTGTAAGGGTAACAGAAGGAATCAAGTTGATACGAGATGAAATTCGATCATAAACCACTTCAAAGGGGCTATATCTCATGCTTTTGATTACAGGATTTCTTGTAAGCAAATTCTAATTTAGAACAAATCAAATCACGTCGGTGGATGTTTTTTCCCATAAAACACCTCAAGAGATTTCCTAGGCTTCAATTGACATATTATGTTTGTCCAAGGTAGTTCTGGAATAGGTAATGGAATGTAGAGATCAGATCATTATTGGTGTGTCTTTGCAATGCAATATACCCTACATTTCTTCACATAACAGTTCACATCCCTAATGAGTATTGGCCAATAAAACCTGTCTTGGACGATATAGCTAACGTCTTATCCCTATCAAAATGACCGGCTAATCCTCCATCATGACTTTCGTACAAGATAGTTGTTGACCCATACACCAAGAAACGTGCAAAAAAGAGGCGAAATTGGTGACTTGAGTGACGGTTGGCGGGCGTTACACATCACTCAAGTGTTCAAACGACCTCCGATTGTCAAACAGACTATGTCGTTGCGATTGGAGCGCCAAATTTATCTAAGAGGGGCCCCTCGTAGTTGAATCGAGCGAAAACAGTTAAAATCGACGACCGACACCCGAAAATGACTCGCAACATTGCCCAAACGACATCCAATCGCAAAACAGATTTCGTCGTTGAGTTTGGAATGTCTTAGTCACCTAAAAATGTTTGTAATTTTGCCCAATGAAATTCGTGCGGGAAAATCGTTGCCATGACGACGTACAAATCGATTCGGCAACGCACGATTTTGAGGCGTGCAAAATTCTCTCATTTTTATTATTTCTATATTATTATTATTATTATTATTAAAGTTAAAAAAATGAAAAAAGTATACGCGATCATACTTATTCAGTGACGACGCCGTTCAACTCGCACGATCTCTGCTCTCTGCTCAAATCCTACGATCGACTGCTCAAAAGGACACTCTGCTTAGTCGTTAAAAAGAAATCGAGCGAGGCTGTCATTCGTTTCTTCTTCCATAGCTCACAACGATTGAACTCTTGCGATCGAACCTACTTGTTATAAAATCCCTTCCTCCTTTCCTCCTCAAGCCACAACTCAGCCTCCTGATCAAGCTAATCTCTTGTCTATCTCACCCAACCCGTTCGAACACCACAATAAAGCCACTCCCAGCACCAATCAATCCTCACATACTAGTCCTCACAGCCACAGCCCGAACTGCCTTTGTATACTGCTTGCCATAACCGACCTCCAACTTCTAATCTCCCTGTCCGTCTGCAAGCAGGAGCCGACCATAGTCGTGATCCGACCTCACGCAATCCGCCCTGAATCGACCTCCTAATTCCTCCTCACATTCGAAGCCGACTCGATCTCCACCTCCCAGCTCGCAGTCGAATTGATGACACAACCGACCGATCCCTCACAACAACCTTCTGCCTCTTCCTTCCTCTTCCTGAACACTCATCTGACTCTTAGTAGCCAGCGGCCCCAACCAAACCCAGGCCAAACATGTAATAACTCATATTTTGACTTTGCCATTTTTTTTCTAAAGTCATTATAACTCCAAATCGCAAACCGTCTTTGCCATAGTTTTTTATTGGAGTAATTTACAATTTCAGAATTTAACCAAATTACTAGATATTGTATAAAATAACATTATGAAGCTTTAATTGATGTGATATCCCAGAATCTAATTTGGAAGAATTATTCTTTTATCTTTTAATAAATAACAATCAGAGTTATCTAATATCATTTATTAGTAATAAATAATAAAATAGATTCTATAATTCAAAACATTAATGTACATATTTGTATTCATTACCAAAAATAATATACACTACTTAAGATCTACGTAATCATATCACTACTCTGTCCTGAGTTCAAAAGAAAAACAAACATTAATAGAACCTGAAGAATCCTAACCAGCCTCACACTCCTGCTCCCCTGCCTTGACTTGAAATTATTTAACCACATATAATGAGTTAAAAATCCCAACATATTATCAAAATTTATAACTAAATTCAAAGTACGGTAAAGGAGCAATATGCATGTTAACAGTCAAATCATAGCACTTATATTCATATGATCATTGAATCAGTGCGTAAATCATAAATCTCAAATGCAATAGCAATAAAATTTGTAAATAATAAAACACTAGGGTGCAGAAACTAGTAAAGAAGTAAACAAGTACGAGTACCAAATCTATAAAACAATCGTTGTATCCATAATTTCAATAAATAAAGAAATTGGATAAAGCATTAATCAAAATATCAGTAAAGACTAGCGAAATCCTATCAATGAAATAAAATCATATAATAGTGTATACATGTTATCCAGTTATTCTATATCAGTATTAAATTAGATCTCAATCACAAGTTCAACATCTCAATTACATGTTTAATAAATTCAGTATATCACGTAGTCAGTATATCACATGCTTGTTATCAATGTAGTGAATCAATAATATCAAATAGTATCAGTATCCAAATCGGTAATAATAATAATCCAGTGGCTTAATAAACAAGTAATAATAATTTCAATAGTAATAATAATTTCAATATGCATTTTAGTAGTCACACTAAACAAGTAAAGAATTCTTGGCTATCACGATATTTTTTAGTAATATATCAATATCAGTAAATCGTTGGCTTAATAAACAGAATCATCACTCTTTGCCCGTCGTCACAGTAATCATCTCCTTATAACTCCCAATCGGTATCACGTGAATCAGTGGAGGAAAACACCAAACTACAATATTTAAAGGAAAGCATGTCGGCACACCATCCTGTACAGGTCATTCAGTCTCTAACCAACGAGTCAAACAGTCTTTATCTGTTTTTTACACTCACATTATTATCACAGTAGTA